AGCATATTAGAAGTTAGGAAAATAGTGGAAATCGAATTCTCGAAATATAATGAGATACAAATCGAAATATAAGAATATAGACTATGGAGATTCTCAATCTTTCAGATCGTTTAAGTCATAAAAATCATTTAAGTCCTAAAGTTAGTTGCTTCTTCCTTGCATGAGATGCTAAGGATCTTGACTCCACGACTGCTTTCGCTATTTCTCAATGTAACATGTAGAAATCTCAAGTAATAATGGGATGTAAAGCAAGATACATGATGAAGAACAATAATAATTTTTGATCTTTCGAATCATCGAAGTCAAAAAAAAGTCATTTAAATTATTTAAGTCATAAAGTCAGTTTTTTTCCCTTTGTGAGTTATCCTATTCCAGAATGTTTTCTGGGTGATCCATGGTTAATTGGCTGAAATCAGGAGTCTTAGGAAAACCTTTGTATCTCTTGAACCGAACAAGCTGGAAAGATGGGTCATGCGTAGATCGAAAGAGAACAATTTTTCTACCAGAAATGTAAATTAACAATTGAGCCAAGTAGTTAGATGGGTCCAAAGTATCGTGCTCAACATGTCTCTCGAAAATGCATCCGATTGGTCCATTGCTAACCACTCAGATTTTAGCATATGTTGATGCATCTGGATCTTCTCTTTCTAATGGTGAAAACCGCAACTCACTACCTTGCTCCTATCAAAAGTTATTCGAAAAATACCCGTTCGTCTTTCTTTTTGAAATGGGCAATAGTTATATTCTATGCGTATTTTGGTAAAATCATTGCATGGAAAACATAGGTAACGCACAGACATGTTTTCAACTTTCAATGAATGTATCTAGAGAATAATAAGAGGGAAAGATTTGTAATTTTTAAAAAATATGTAAGTAAACAAATTCTATAATACTTGAAAGTTTGAGCCTCAGCTGTCAATCTGTTTGGATTTTATGAGTAAAATACTGGTCGGTAACGCACGGACAAAAAAGGCTCTCGGTTCTTGGTAGGTGCGAAAGAAGTGATAAACTCTGCAAACTACTTCATGCTAATAAATTTCACAGGAGAGGATTTTGTAGCTAAAAGCCAGGGCTAATCTTTTGGTAAGGAGAAAATATTGATACCTTGAAAAATGAGTGAACTATTGAAAAAAAACATAAGGTAACGCACCAACATGAATTTTTTTAACAAAAATCCTAGATATAAAATTTTATATAGTATTAGGAATTATCGGTTTAGAACATCAAAGTAATGATGTTCATTTGTATTTCGAGCTGCCACTACTGTTTTTATGTCTAATAATGTGCCCGTTTTTGAAATATGACACAAAACAAAAGAGCTTTTTCAAGCCACTTTTGCACAAAAATATTGAGTTTTGGCTGTCGACTACCATTTCTTCTAATAATTATTAAAAAGAAATCGCATACATCGACGCAGAATACACGAAAACCTACATAAAAACTTAAAATTAGTAAGATCGATTATTTTGTGTCCGAGAATTTGAGCGCTCAACTTCAATCACACTAGTTGACCGTTATCCGTTTTTCATGATTGTTTTTGTACCATCCTCGAAGCGTATATTGATATGTTAACATATGAACAGATTCTAGATGAATATTGACTGACATTCTCTTTCAAATATTCTGAGTTATTGATGATTTTGAATGACTTTAAAGTCATAAAAGTCAGTTATTTCCCCCTTGAGCACTCTGCTTTTGGCCTATGAGTATCTCTTTAATGATAAAAATATCTCTTTCGGTACTTTTCTATAATATGCTATGTATTGACATTCTCTATCGTCGAAAAAATTAAATACTATTTCAAGATGTCTCGGTTTATCTGTAAAAGTAAGATACACTAGTTTTGGTAAATATGAATTGTGATTTTTTTTTTCTCTCCTTTAGTATCACCTCGTCGATATCAATATCGTTTACCTCATCGNCAGTTATCCAAGCCAAGGTTTCAATTTTCATTTTACTATCGGTGATTGACATTATTTTGCATTGATGTCGATAAAAATCAACTAATATATATTTCGTACGCGTCACTTCACACCCTCACTATTTGAAAATAAAAATTGCCTTTTTTTTCGTTCGTTTTACTTTGCATTAGAGACAGAAGATCTATTTATATATTACATTGTCTCTTGAGACGGAAAGATTTCTAAGAAAAACTACAATAAATGTCATAGAAGAACGAAATGATCGACTTGTGCGAGATGAAAAAAACCTCAGCATGAGCTTTCTTCATGTTGATTTCTCTGGATACTTCACATCAGTGGCGTACGCAGGGGGGGGGCCGAGGGGGCCCGGGCCCCCCCCCTTGGGATTTATACAATCGGCTTAGTATTAGAACAGCTTCGATGATGGCAACAGAGCTGTTGCAGAAATTATATGCTTTCGTTATGACAACTTAGAATGATCTGTGTATTAATTATAAAATGTATTAATTCGTCAGTCATTTTATTTCGTTCTATTCAGAAACAACTGTAAAGCATTCGACCTATACGTTTGATCATTTTCAACACGAATGATACAGAGTGGAATGATGTATAAAATGGCTCTCTTCTTTTCTTTTGTTCTGTTTTGACTATTGATAAACATTTCAATGCGAAGAGAATATTATATCATCCTTGTATTGAAATGTTTATCAATAGTCAAAACAGAAAAGAAAAGAAGAGAGCAATTTTATACATATTTTCACTCTCTATCATTCGTGTTGAAAATGATCAAACGTATAGGTCGAATGCTTTACTGTTGTTTCTGACTAAAACGAAATAAAGTGATTGAGGAATCAATATATTTTACAATTAGTTTATTTTCTTGTATCTCCACGTGGAATAATATATAAAAAAAGGTCTGTGTATTGTAATTTTTTTACTTAATCGCGTTTAATTTTGACGATAGTGTTACGCGACACTTAGAATTTATTTTTTATGCAACTAGTTATATTGGAACCTTTTATATAAGATGAGTCGGCAACTGAATTTGAAAGAGTCGTTTGCAAATGTAAAGAAGAGAAGACGTTATTCTAATGAAGACATTGCATTATCAACGTTATCATCATTACCACCAGTTTGTTCAACTACATCATCATTGCCACCAGTTTGCTCAACTACATCATCATTGCCAACAGTTTGCTCAACTACATCATCATTACCACCAGTTTGTTCAACTACATCATTATCTACAACAGGTTCCCTATCTACTTCACTGACATCAACATCATCATTTTTATCACAATCAATTTCATCACCAACAGAACCAATAACGCCACCGATATTTCAGTTACAGACAACAATTTCTGTTTCTTCTCCATCAATAGATTCTGAACTCTCTATTGTCACTGAACATAATTGTGCTCCAACTGTTTTTGAAAACCTCTCATCAAACAGTCTAATTACAACTGCATCATCTATCGATATATATGATCCGAATGATATTGGTAAGTCGTTCACTAGATACATTTTTTTCCTATAAAACAATGAATAATAGGAAATAAACCAGCACATATATCATGTATTGATTTTTAAGGTAATTTTATTGATATATCGGTTACTAAACAAGATGCTACTCGAATCTATGATGTACTTAAAAAGCCCTGGACTCCACCACTCTTCTACAAGTTTCCGAAAGTCGATCATAAAGGACATTCTCGATCAGTATGCGTTTCGAAATGGCTGATTGATTTTCCTTGGCTTTCGTACTCAGCCAAGCTCAAAGGGGTTCTATGCCGATACTGTGTTCTCTTTCAACGCAAATCGTCTTACCTTGACCGAGGTAACAATCAGCTTGGTCAACTAGTGGTCAAGCCTCTTTCTGGTTCTTTTTTGAAAGAAGCTACGACTACTTTAAAGGCTCATGAACAAACGCAGTACCATTATTATTCTACAAATCAAGCCAATGAATTTATTACTCGTCATATAAATCCGAACTTGGATGTCGATTTTTTACTAAATGTTACTGATCAGCATCAACAAAATGAATATAAGAAAATTTTATTTAGTATCGTGAAATGTATTTTATTTTTAGCTAGTCAAAATTTAGCATTACGTGGGCATTCAGACGATGGATTGCCGTGTGATACGAATCTGCATCAAGGAAATTTCAAAAACTTAATTGCATTTCGTGCCGAAGCGGGAGACATCATTCTTGCCAAGCATCTCCAGGCATGCGCTAAGAATGCAAGTTACTTAAGTCCTCGAATACAAAATGAACTGATCGTACTCTCAGCTCAAGTTGTACGCACTAAACTTATTCGTGAGCTCATCGATAAACGACTCTTCTATTCCATCATGGCAGATGAAACGTCCGATATATCCGGCCATGAGCAACTTTCCATATCCGTTCGTTATGTTTCGTCTGAATCTGACGAAAATGGTGAATTTATTCACGAAGTGTTTTTGGGTTTTATTCATTTGGAAAACCTCACTGCTGTTGGGATCGCTAGCAAAATATGTGATTGCTTGAAGAATATTGGTCTTAGCCTTGATCTAATTAGAGGTAACATTCTAGCTGAAAATTTTTTCTCACTCGATGATGAAATTCTGCACAGAATTGATCAATCTCACGTTTTGAGATGTTCTGGAAAAAGGGAATAATATAATGATTATTTAGGAGTTTCACTTTTTTTTTAGGTCAAGGATACGACGGCGCCAATGTAATGGCTGGTCGATTAGGTGGGGTGCAGAAATTGATTGCTGATCAATCACCAAAAGCAATCTATATTCATTGTTCAAACCACTGCTTAGATCTGGTGCTAAGAAATTCATGTGATCATTCGGATGTAAAATCTTTTTTTGGAACTCTCAAAATGATAACCAAGTTCGTCAATGATTCTCCGAAACGGAAGGCTATGTTTAAAGCAGCAGTAGAAGCAACAGTTGGCAAACAGATTCATCAACACCACCATACACTCATCAGAATGTGTGAGACACGGTGAGTATCTAGAAAATTGGTCTTTATCAAAAATTCGATTTGATTTTCTTTAAAATATAGTTGGATCGATAAACAATCGGCTATTATTATATTCAGACAACTATTTGGTTCTATTCTAATTGTTCTCGAGTACTTATCTATTCATGGTGATAGTGAAACATCAGCTCTTTCTGGTGCATATCACAAATCAATCTCATCGGACATTGAGTTTATTACGTCACTTATCGTTGTTTCTCGTGTCTTCGCGCTTACGAAACCGTATACTGAAAATCTACAATCACCAACATGCGATCTCGTACTATGCTACGACAAGATCGAAGAATTGGCATTGTATTTAACTGAACTCTTGAATGATGACAATACGGATAAATTGTACGACGATTTGATTCAATTTTCTACTCAAAATGATATTCCATTTGTACTTTCGCGTCGAAAGAAAATAACACCACGTGCATTCTTCGAATCAATTTATCAAGCTTTTATTTCGAGCACAATCGATGAATTGGGTCCACGATTTTCTACACATCAGAAGCTTGCCATAAAAATCTCCAAATTAATGCCTCTTCATGTCAAGGGAGTCGAATTCGCCGATATGAAGGATACATTCGAATTTTACAAGGAGGATCTGCTGTCGGACAACTTTTTTGTACTCGAAAGTGAGTTCGAGATGTGGCGAAACATGTGGCAAAAACATAATGATCATGATCTTCCATGTACTATTCGTCAAGTTCTCAAATCAACATATGCACAACGTGAATTTTATCCAAATATTTATCGTCTTCTCACCATCTTTGCTACTCTGCCAGTCTCTATCGCCACTTCTGAGCGATCTTTTTCTACTTTGAAGCTCGTGAAAACTTATCTCAGAAACTCTATGGCTGATGAACGACTTAGTGCTCTGGCTTTTCTACACATTCACAAAAGTACTACATTGACAACTGATCCACAAGATATCATCGCTGAATTCGCCAAGCGAAATCGACGAATCAAACTATTTGAAGAGTGACGTTAAAAAAGTGATTGTTGATAGTCCTATTTGTATTTTTTTTTCTCGAGATATCGTTTTCTTTTCTCATGATGTTATTTTTTCATGATACTCTTCGTGATATTGCTTTTTGGTTTTGATATTAGTTTTCTTGTTGTGATATTCTTCTTTTCGTGGGATTATGTTTTTTGTTATGATATTCTTTTTTTCATGATAATGTTTTTTTCTGGTGTTGTTGTATTTTATTCGATTATGAATATAAACATGATGATTGATGAAAGATAAGTAAGAAAGAAGCATGTATCCTGTCACCTTTGTGGAGGTTAATGCATGAGTACTAAAAACTTTGGAAAGAATGAGTAGAAAATTCTTTTTCGTCAGGCTTTGGTTTTTATAGAAATGGGCCCCCCCCTTGCGGAATTTCTCCGTACGCCACTGTCACATATGAAAAAAAAAAGATACATTTGTATGTAATCATCGATTGATCTAAATATAATACTTTTGACGATCGTTTTTGTTTATTTGGTGAATATTTTAGTCGATTACATACATTTAATGTCAAATTTGATGAAAGTAAGAGTTTGTCAATGATTGATAATGATAAAGTAAAGAATTTCGAATCATAATAAATGGATTAAGTATTGAAAAAATGGACTCATCAAATGATATATTATTGTAGTATCTATGTGAGAAATGTGAGAATAGAGAGTTCGAGAATTTCACTAATAAGACTTTCGTCAATTTGACTGTGAATTAGATGTGAATTTAAAAAATTGCTAACAATAACATTGATAAATTAAGTTGATCTATGTTGTTTCAGATAATAATTGTTCGATAAATGCCTGTGATAACTTGCGTTACTGTATTACCCTCTGAGATCAGTGAAGAAACAACGTTGCCAGTGAATCTAGGGTGTAACTCCGAGTCATCTTTTTAACTCACATTTCATATTGTGACGAAGAAGAAAAACAATAATACAACTTGGCTTAATAATTAAGAAAGCAAAGAAGAAAACCAATACAGAAAAATTAGATGAGATTTAAAAAAAAAAAGTAGAAAATAGAATTTTCTTATGATAATGGTAGCGGTGATGGAGGAGGTGCTCTAAGTAATGGAGATGTAAAAGCAAGATTATCATTTTGATTTCATTGTTGTTGATTTGAATAGTTTTGTTGTTGTTGAGAATTTAGCCACGATATTAATTAAATATTATTACTTGAACTTGCCACATTTGTCATTAAAGGTGGAATATGTTGAGCTCGATAAGAATCACGTTGAATATATGATCAATAATTATTATTTCGATTTCTTCCTCGTAAAATATGATAACCATCGAATATATGATTATTATTATAACGAAGATCTGTTGAACTAAATGATGTATTTGAATGACTTAATGGATTATTCGTTCGATTATTATTATTTGGATTAAGTAACATTAATGAAGTAAGAGTCTAAAAAAAAAAGAAGATAAAGGATTCAAATATAATTTACTAATGTCGTTTAATATACTAAATTCTAAAATATAATGTGTCGTGCAAATTAGAACTTCGAATTTGTTTTTATTAAAATAAAAAATAATTGTGATTTTCCTCGATTTTTAAGTTAGAAAGATAAACAAAACTTGAAATGCTCGATTCTAATGAATTTATTGAGCATTCGATCATATGATAGATTCGCATGAAAATTTATTATTAAGATAATAAACATATAACAATATAGAATGGGTAGTCCAGAAATAATAGAACAGTTTCATTTTCCATTTTTGAACAACGGAAACACTGTTCAAAAGCATCAGTTTAAACTCATTCGATAGAGAACGTTTCGCTTTAGAAACATGTAGACTTTCTTTTTTTCAAATAAGTTTTCCTTGTCGACGAAAAATTAGAAAGATTGACGTCTGCTTCACTGACTAACTGTGATCTCCTGCTTTTTTTTTCCTGAGTATAGCTAACCATTTGTTCAAGCTTGTACTCATCAAGTTCAATGCTAAATGTAAAGTATTTACCATCAATAGATAGAGAATGATATGCTCTATGCTTTCAAGATCTTTTTATGACTCCTAATCATGTCATTCAAGCAGAATAAGGTTGAAACGAACATCTGCTAGTATTTTGTCTTGAATGTGCTGTTGAAACTCGTCTTTTCAATAATTATCATGCTCTATGAACGGTTGATCATTATATAATTGGATACAGTATTTTATTCTGAGCAAAAAGTTTTTCTAAAATTGCGAAACATCGCAAGATCGAGCCTTTTACAGTATATCTTGCATCATATTTCGAATTTCGGTGGAATTGTTATTTAAACATATTTTTAATAATTGTTTTATTTTCTGATGGTCGGAATTCAATGGGTGAGTAGCCATTTATGTTTTTCATTTTTCTGCGACAGGAGAAACTTATTTTAAGAACAATATCGACAAATTTCTACAGTGAAAAAGTCTTTATCGAATGAGCTTAAACTGGTGTCTTTAAACTATGCTGCTGTCTTCAAACTGTTCCATTCTTTATAAATTATTCATTATAACGAATATTATCTATTGATGATAATATAAATTTTAATTGCTCTTTTTTTAAACTAACTGACGATATCTAATTAGTAAAGTTTATTAATAATAATCTTATGCTTAGATAATTACTGTTCGTATTGATTGAACGATTTAATACCAACTGTTGTAATAGTTGTATTACTATCTGTTATTGATGAAGATGTTTCATCTGTAATAGCTAATGTAGGTCCAGTTGTTTTATATTCAGTCATTAAATTTCGTTGATCATCTAATGATAAAGTATTTCTATTTGTATTTTTTGTTATCCATTAATTCATTCATTAATGATTGATACTAAAATATAAAAATAAAAATTCTTATGAAATATATTTTATTTATTTTATCATAAAACTAACTTCACAATAAAGTTTTTGTTGTTTTTGTCTATTTCCATTAATTGTAAGTGATCCATCAGGATTTAATTCAGTATGAGTACTATTTCGTTTTTTACGAAATTTACAATCGATTGTTAAATGATCAGGTCCACTAAAAATTGTACATATTATTGTATTTGTAACAATCTTTTCTGCTTCATTTATTAAATTTAGTTTCTTATTAAAAACAAATGAAATATTAAAATAATTTAATAATAATAATAGATTAAAATTTAGATAAGACAATCATTTTCACCTAATGTTCCATTAAGTAAAGCTAATTGTCGAAATTGTTGTTTACGTAATTCATTTAATCCTTCTGCTGCATCGATACTTTTATTTATTATTTCTTAAACCTGAAATTTTTTTTTTTTTTTTTCTTTATGTGTGTGTTTACTTTTTCTACTAGTTTCGCAACTATTTCAGGTGAATTACCAGTAATATAAGCATGTTATGGTTCGTCTTCACCTGATAATGAAGCATGTTTGACTAAATCCATTTTTCTATCTTTTGCAGATTCTTTACCTTGAAAAAAAAAATGTTATATTTATAGCTAAGAGTCTATAGATAATAGAATTTTAACCTTGAATGATAATTTTCGCATGAGTCTAAATGTATCAGAAATAGTTTATATTAAAAAAAAAATGAGGAAATAAACATACTTCTTTTTCTAACATTTTAAATGTATTACCACGTCCTCCAATAATTAAACCAAAAAAATTTACATCTGAATGATCTTCTTTTGAAATCATCACTTTATCCGTATATTTCATTTGTTGAGGTCGAAATAAATTCAATGTTAAAATAAAACAAAAATACCGGGTGTCCCAAAAGTTCCTTCCACTTAAATTTTTTGTATATCTTTGCTATTTAATTTCACTTTATCAACTATTGTTTTTCTAAATGATAGGTAGATACACCGAGTTTTTATTTCTAAAGACAAACTTGATAAGTACTACTCAAAGCTAAGAGTTAGAATCGAAATAGAAAAATGTAGCCTAATTTTCTATTCCCAGAAAACCATTATACATGATATCTGTTCCAATTGGTGAAATATTGGCGTGACAAGATTCAGTTCGTTTATATGAAGATATACCAAAGTAAAATTCTATGAAAAGACTCGTCAAAAATTGAAGAACTCAAATATCTAAACCACTTAATAACCCGAAGTGATTAAAAAAGAAATTTTGTATAATGCTTTTCTGGGAATAGAAAATTAGGCTACATTTTTCTATTTCAATTCTAAGGCTTAGCTTTGAACAATACTTCTCAAGTTTGTCTTCATAAATAAAAACTCGGTGTATCTACCTATCATTTAGAAAAATAATAGTTGATAAAGTGAAATTAAATAGCAAAGATATACAAAAAATTTAAGTGGAAACGACTTTTGGGACACCCGGTATCTATAGAAAATTCAATATTCTCATCAACTCAGAATATTTTCCAGTATTTTCTTGTGAAACAAGTCTTTATTTGTTTTTTTTACGATTATTTTCTCATGAAAACTGAAGACTGACGTGAGAAAGAATATTTTCTAGATGTTATCATCCGAACATCATTTTAAAAATGAAAAAAAAAATAAAGTTTTCACGAAAGATGAAACAGTTTGACTGGTATCTCACTCAAAGACCATCTATGCTGTTGGGAGCAGAGACCCTCCGACGTTTTTTTTCTGGTTATGCCTCTAATTATAAGTCATTTTCATATATAATTAAGTCGTTATTGATAAGAGTTATTTTTAAAAATCTACTTTTCAGTTGGAAAAGGCTGAGCGTTTAATTCGATCTAAAAAAATGAAATCAGTTTGATGCAATACATTTTATATTGTTAGAAAAAAAATGAAATTAACAAGGTAGCTCTTACCGCAGTGGAAATAGTCCATACGTTTTTCAGCTGATCTTTTCGATTTCTAACATACTCACTATTTTAAATACGTCAAAAACTAGTCGAAATTTTGTATTTAACTGGTAAAAACGCATCAATTTTAAAAAATCTAATGAGGGTTATTCACATTTCTCTTATAAGCCACCACCCAATGAAAAATAAGGAACAATATATATTGTTTGTTGCTAACAGCGGCTCTTCTTTGATTTTTTTTCACTGTCTGTTCATTTCATTTCCATCGAACACTTTGGCTTATTATGTAGTCAATCTTTTCCTTCTTTGATCGTTTATCTCTACCTCTTTCCTCTAAATAAATGAAACACACCATTGCAACTTCGAAAAAAAAGATGACTTTATGCTCATATTCTATAAATCATCACATTGAAATAGATGTATCATTCACTTTGAACAAAATAGACATAACGAAAGCTCTCTCATAATGTTGTTATTTTTTTCTTATCTCAGCTTGTTTTTTTGTCCATATATACAGTATATATCATAGGCGGCGCGCCAGCAATGCAATAGTTAGCAATTGCAACCCCTAAAATAAATTATTGAAATCAATAAGAACTTATTGCTTTCTCTAATTTTTCACACTTCCTGTATATTCTAGAGTAAAACTACTTTATTCAACATACATATATTCGATGTGATTCTGTATTTTATGTAGGAAGATTGAATTTTAGTCTCAGGAGTTTTGTATTGCTATTCTTACGTATCTGTTTCCCGCAACATATATCGAGTGTCCCATAATAAATGGCCAATTTTTCTATTTCATATTTTAATCTTTAAATACATTTTAAAAAAAGCACAGAAATTAGCATTAGATACAATGTAAAGATTTCTGCAGCTACAAAGGAAAGCTTATTTTAATTGTATACTTGGTATTTTCAAAATAAATGAAATTCTGCACAATCAATTTTCGACGCTGCGTATAACGTTCTCACAGAATTTTGTTTCTTTTCAAAACACAAAGTATACAATTAGAAAAGCTTTACTTTGTACACTGTAGAACTTTTTATGCTGTATCTTGAGGTATATGCGATAAAACCAATTAGGTGATAAAAGGATGAAATAAGAAAAAAATGATTTGCTCATTGGAATAGAAAAATGATCTTTTAGGTACAATGGATATTATTCTCACGGAATTTTACTTTTTTTTGAAAACAAAAATTACACAACCAAAATATGCTTTATTTTGCGGATTGTAGATCTTTTCACGCTGCACCTTTTGGTGTATTATACTTTTTTAAAGAAAACATATTAAGAGATACACAGATAAAATAAGAGCGAAGGAATGGTTTTTTGAGACCTTCGAAAAGTGGTCCTATAGAATTTTGTCTTTTTCAAAATCAAAATTAAACAACCAAAATCAGTCTTGCTTTGTGAATTGTAGAGCTTTTCACGCTGCATCTTATGGTATACTCGGTTTTTTAATAAAAATTAATAAAGATTAAAATCTCAAATACAAAAACCGGCCATTTATATGGGACACTCGTTTGTACGAGATTTTGAAATTGATATTGATACTATTGGAACTGCTTTTCTATCGAAAAAAAGATAAAAGAAAAAAATTATTTTGAAAATGAACAAAATAATTGTATATCATTCTCGAATAAGAACGTATTTTTTCCTCTTAATAATAAACATTGGTGAACATCTAATAGTGATTGAAGACTAAAATTGAAGAAGTAAACGTACTCAATAAAAAGTGCATATACTAATTAAAGCGGGTTTAATGCACTACTAGAGGAGTTAATGCTCGAGCTTTGCATACAGTATAATCGAGAAGTTCAGTTCTCATGAAAAACTTTTTTGCATCGGACTGGGCAAGGGGAAGAAAGCAGAGCTCATTTAACAGTTTATTGCCACCCCTACAAAACTGACCTTGCGCCGCTCATGGTATATATATTTATTTATTTAAATAAAATTGGATATAATACACTACTCTCGTGTATATAATCAGTTGACGTCACTAAAATACCATCGGTTAAAACTGTATGAAGAGCGTTCTAAAAGTTATTATATGTATTTTAATCGATTGAATATGTCTATTTTGTTCAAACTGAATGATACATCTATTTCGATGTAATGATTTATAGAATATGAGCATAAAGTCATCTTTTTTTTCGAAGTTGCAATGGTGTTTCGTTTATTTTGAGGAAAGGGGAAGAAAAAAAGATCAAAGAAGGAAAAGATTGACTACATAATAAGTGAAAGTGTTCGATGAAAACAAAATGAACAAGCATGTGAAAAAAAATCAAAGAAGAAGAGCCGCTCTTAGCAACAGACAATATATATTGTTCCTTCTTTTCATTGGGTGGTGGCTTATAAGCGAAATGTGAATAAGGCCCCGAACAGACTGAACACGATAAAACTGAATTAACCAATACAATTCGCGTTGCTATGCAAAAAGGCCAATCGTATTTCTTAATTCACTTTGAATTAGTCAGTTTGTTCGGGGCCTAACCCTCATTGTTTTAACTTTTAACGAGTTCGTACTCTCTTGACGCATTTCTTTTTGTCAGTCTTGACTGGCTGGATATTACTATGAATCCTCTGATTTCAAAATAATTCGAGGCATATGAATTTATCTTTTTCTAACAAACCTATTTTGTTACTCACATTTACAAATAGATTTTAAAAATATCCGGTACGATAATATATTTTCTTTTTTATCAATTTATTTTCATTGTTATAGAGAATGATCTTCAATTAAATATAGGTCGATATTGATCAAGTAATATATATATAATTTACTATATTTTAAAATATTTATATAGAAATAAATATTCTATGGATATCTAGAAAAAGAAAAAACGTTATTNGACTTCGAGAGTACGTACTTCAATTGTACTTCAATTGTATTTCAGTAGTACTTCACTGTACTTCACGTGTACTTCACTTCTACTTCAGCTGTGCTTCACTCGTACTTCACTATACTTTACTGGTATTACACTGGTACTCCATTGTAACCTAGCATACTCCAAACCTATGTCAAAGTTATCCTGTAGAACTTTTAGCTGTTGCAAGTCTACTATCAATGTGTGTCATGAACACATGATTTTGAGTTCATTTGGTATACGACTATCTGACAATAAAGCCCAAATACATGATTGTACTTCGATATTTGAGTGCCACTGAAGCACGGTTACGTATTCGAGCTTGATCGCCAAAAGGCTTATAAAATGAACTCAAAATAAAATGCTCGTGACATACATTGATAGAAGACTTGAAAAGATAAAAAGTTCTAGAGGATAGCTTTGATATATCCTTGAAATAGAGTGAAGTACAGATGAAGTACGGAAGTTTTCCTTTCCCCTTGAGCACATTAGACGTATTATAAAGTTATTTATCATGTTTGTTTTTAGTCAAATATATAGTTCATTCACGCATACTGATTTCAATTAATCAAGTTCGATTCATTCATCACTAGTATCGAATCAACCAATGTTTTTCATGAAAAACCCTGAGTTCAGAAAATTTGTTTTCAATGGGTACTACGTGAAAACCAAAATCCAAGAGGGAGCATGATATTTCATACTCCACAAACTTTAAGTCACATTGAAGTACTTTAGGTTACTTTTACATACTTTAAGATACTTCAAGATACTTTACGTACTTCAGGGTACTTTAAACTACTTTAGAATAGCATACCATACTTTTCCTTACTTTAACGTTCTTCAAGGTACTTCAGTGCACCTTTTTATCTCTTTCTGTGGTTTTAGTTAAATTTTCTACTTAAGTTGAAATTATACTAACCAAACAAAAGTTACATAATCACCAGGCATAGCATATAGTGCACTGTTCAGGCGTATAATGAGACTCTTCAACATAATGAAAATCACGTATCCTAGTGTTAAACAATGTACTTTTTTATCATTGACAA